GATTTCAGGGGAATTCATGTGTTCAGTTGCTCCCAGAGGGCAACGTGAGGAAGGCAACATGGCCACATCTACAGTCGTAAATTAAACATGCCCACGCCTGTTCTCACTGAGACCAGCTGGTACAGCGCACCTCGCATCCATACCATTAAACTCATTTATCTTCAAAACAGAGCAGTTTGTCCAAACTGGTGATCTCTGGTTTGTGCCAACCTCTGAACCGTGCCCAGGTTTGGCAGCAGGCGAGCTGGCCTTGCAGCCCTCCTCTTCTCTACTCCACAAGGGCCCAACTGCCTCTTCAGGTGCCAGCTCTGATGTGACCCAGCTGCACAACCGCGGCTCAGACTGCCACAGACACTGCAAAGCCATGCGAAAGAGCTGTGTGAAAATCTATAGAAAGACAAGAAACGTAAAACTGCAGATAGAGGAAGAGGACTGTTGAGATGGGGGTCGCTGGTAGCTCAAAGTTTTGAAGGATAACATCATCATGAAATGGTATAAAATCCAAAAGGAAAAACCGTGAGTCTACTAGGCAGTCATTGGGTGAGGGCCAACAGCTGGGTCACCTGTGTGCTGGTGTTGACATTAGTGGTGGAAGAGTGCAAGAACAACCCAACTGAGGGAGGGGCAGAGGCTGATCCTTCTCCTCTCACTGGTGCCTGCCTGGCCAGGGAAGTCTCTTCAGATGCCTCTTCTGAGGTGGTGAGTACTAATGCTCAGCCTAGTAGCTAGTGAAATCTCAGCTATTTCGTTTGTGTGTTAGTAAATAATTGCTTCATACTCTCAATCTGCATACATGTTGCTGGAGGAGTATCTTTATGTATGGCTAAAGATGCTCAAACACACTCACTCAAAAGAGGGACGGTAACAGTCTCCACTGAAGCTATGCCTGGAACTTGCAAGGAAGGTGTCCCAGTGCTCGGGAACACTTCTTACAACTGTATCATATAGCCATAGAGATGCAGCCTTTGTGTCATCTCCACACACAAATCAGACTTTGTTTCCTTCCGGATGCCCTTGGTGTCCCTCATTCATGCCTTCCTTTAATGACCTGTGTTCAGTTATCACTTGATCTACGCATGTTGTAGAACATGAAGTTTCTTCGTTTGCAGGGAAAAACTGCTGAAGACACACCAGCATGGCACTGAAACCAGCACCTTACAAAGCACACGTTTAAGATTATGCACACGAGGATCTTTCACTGACAGCAAAAAATAATTTCCTTGCTGGAATTAAACACAGCCACATCTCTCTACTGGATCCAGTAGACTGATTCTGAGCTTAGCCACGTGGGTACACCTGCAGTGGGCAAGGCAGCGAGGATCCCGAGTTGCACGCCAGCAGTGCTCTCTCGAACTTGGTTTAAGCCATGCGATACCCAGAGGCTGAGCACATTAGCTCAGGTGCATCCCTACACTGACACAGGATCCAGCTGCCAGAACCAAGCTGGTCCCTCTGCCATGTTACTCAGCCCAGGTTACGTCCACGTAGTGCAAGAGAGCTGTGAGAGTAAAGAGTAGCATAAACAAGACCTCAGTTAAACCATGGGACATTTAACAGTTCAATTCTCATTTCACTCTCCTGAGTTACACCAAATAATCCTCTGTAGGATGCTGTTCTCATGCTCTACCTTTCCCACTCTGCTCGTATACTAACACTGAGCACTTCTTTTATCCTCAAAACAGGTCAGCTCCTCTTCTGAATTGTTAATTTATATATGTTTTCTCTGAAAGCAGCAACCAAAGCCCTATACTGTGGCTCCCTGGTACATATAACCAGAGCATAGGATTAGACGAGCATGACTTCTGTAGTGGAACATCACA